TTATGGTAGTTAGTATTTATATTTCCTAAAATATATTTAGTGTTTTAGTGTTTATACATATTTATGATATATTTAGTATTTAATGTTAGTAGTGTTTTTAATAGAATAGTGTAGTATAGTATTAATATTTATGGTATTTTTCAACCCTACTGTTGCGTTAGGATCACCTTCAAATGTTTATTAAAAATGGGAGTTCTTGGGGCACCTGGGTGACTCAGTCAGTTAAGCATCCAATTCCTGACTTCAGTTCAGGTTATGATCTCAGGGTCCTGGGATCGAGCCCCAAGTTGGGCTCCATGCTCAACAGGGAGTCTGCCTAAGAGTCTCCCTCTCCCTCTCCCTCTGCCCCTTCTCTCTAAAAAAAAAAAAGAGGGAATGCTTGTTAAAAATACATATTCCTGGCCTCTGCCCCAGATATATGAAACAATAGGGTTGTGGAGGGCAGAATTGTCAGCAGTCTGTTTTTCTTTCAACTTTTTATTTTAAAAATTTTCAAACATATAGAAAAGTTGAAAGACTACAATGCTCACCCCTATATCTTCCACTCAGATTTCACGATGATCACATTCACTACATTATTTTTCCTTTCTCGCTCTTTCTCTAGCAATAATTTTTTTTCCTGAAAGAGCTGAAAGTAAATTTCAGACATGCTGATATATCCACCCTTGTTGTGGGTTGAATTATGTTCCCCCAAAAGACAGGCTCAAGTCCTAAACCCTGGCGCCAGTGAAGGTGACCTATTTATAAGTAGCGCCTTTGCAGGTGTAATCAAGTTAAGATGAAAGCGTCCTGGAGTAGGGTGGGCCCCTCCAATAACTGGTGTCCTTATAAAGAGAAGAGATTTAAAGTCACAGAGAGACACACAGAAGAGGACATGTGACTGTGGAGACAGAGAGAGGGGTTAATGCTGTCCTAAGCCAAGGAACAGCTAGGATTGCCAGCAACCGCCAAAAGCTAGGAAGAAGCAAGGCAGGGTCTTCCCCAAGAACCTTCAGACAAAGCACAGCCCTGCCATTATCACATATACAAAAACTAACAATTTTAGAATTTTGTAATATCCAGTCCATAATCAGAAGGATCCAATTGTCCTACAAAGATCTTTTGTAGATTTTCTTTGCCTTTTTTTTTTTTTTTGGCCAGAATCCAATCACAGTATCTTTCTTATATTCATTTGATTGTTATGTCTTTTTAACTTCTTTTATTCTGAAGTAATGTCATTTTTAAAAAAATGACATTAACTTTTTGAAGTGTTAAGGAAAAAATTATTCTCAAACGAAGGGAAAGACTTTATTCAAGATTATTGTAATAAGGGAGGGAGATCAGGCTCAACTCTGAAACAAGGACAGGTGGGGATTTCTAGTTGACGGGCAGGACAAGGGGGTCAGTGGATGGACAAGTACTAAGGGCAGATGTCAGGGGGATAAGTAAAAGCTTAGAGCTTAGACATCAAAGCTGGGGGATGAGGACCTTGATCAGAAGTCAAGGGGGACCAGATGTCAACGGTCGGGGATGATTTAGCAAGATTCTTTGCTAAGACTGGCTGGGCAGGCCCAGGACAGAGTGAGGACCAAGGTCAAGGCCTAATCAAAAGATGTGCAGAGGATGGGGCGCCTGGGTGGCTCAGATGGTTAAGCGTCTGCCTTCGGCTCAGGTCATGATCCCAGGGTCCTGGGATCGAGTCCCGCATCGGGCTCCCTGCTCCTTGGGAGCCTGCTTCTCCCTCTGCCTCTCTCTCTCTCTCTGTCTCTCATGAATAAATAAATAAAATCTTAAAAAAAAAAAAAGATGTGCAGAGGAGCTGGACAAGTCTGGCTGAGGAGAGAGACTTTGTCACAGTGAAACACACGTGAGGTGGTATATTCTTGATTCCTCCTGGTATAACTTAACTTGTTTCCCTGTGTCCATCTTTCCTGTACCCTGGAATGTAGTCCTGAGGCTTGGTTAGATTCATGTTAGTTACGTTGCCAGGAATAATTCACAGGTGACATTGTGTTTTTCACATTCTGTTACATCAGAAGGCGCATAATTGTTGCACCATTGGTGATGCTCAGTTTGATTGCTCAGTTAAGATGGCGACCCCCAGATCTCCCTATTGTGAAGGGAAATTTTCCCCCTTAGGAACACATAAGTCATCTGAGGCAATGTGAACATCTTTTATCCAGTGGCTCCGTTGATAATCTTTGTGTAAATCACTTCTTTTATTGGGGGCTGCAAAATAGTGATTTCCGATTCTATTATTCCTTCCATTTTTATTAGCTCTTTCCCTTCCTTTCCCCCTTGTGTGGAATATCACTATGGACACATGGATTTTGTTTTATTCAGTGTGTTACCAATTGTAGTCATTATTCATCCTGATGCTCAAACTGTCCCAAATGTGGCCAGTAAGAATCTCTTCTGTATCTCCTATGTTTTTTGAACACTTCCCAGTCTTTTGGCACAATCTGATGCCCCACTTTCACTTTCTCGGCCCCAGACAGAGAATCAGACATTTCTCCAAGGGACAGAAAACATGGTCATCCTTCTCGATTACCCTGAAGTAAGGTGTTGTTTCCTTACCCATTTAAAATAAGCTTCGCAGTAGCTAATGGTTCTTAGGTGCTGTGTGCCCAGCCCCAAGGGTTTTCTGTGCATCGCCTAATTTAATCCATGGGCCAATTCTTTATGGTAAACACTTTTACTTATCCCCATTTTACAGATGAACAAACTGGGGTGTGGAGAAGTAAACTGCACAGGGCCACTCAGCGAGCAAGTAGGGGAGTTAAAATTGGAACTTAGATCATTCTGACCCCAGAATCCAAGCTTGGAACCACCATGCCATATTGCCAATTTTGCTACCAAAACCAAAACCAAAACAAAACCCTACTTAAAAAGAACAGAACTTCATGATATCTACAATTAAAAACAGAAACAAAAACCATGCTTGAAGATGACAGGCATGAGGGAAAATTTAAAGAAGGAAATCCTGGAGAAATCTGGTACCTTTCTCATGTATTCTAAATTGCCAGTAATCACAGTTTAGGATAATCCAGGTCAGGCCTGGAATGTGATGAGAAAGCTTTCTTATAACTCCACTAGAAGCCTTTTCATGGAATGAAATGGAGCAGGGGCTCTGGACCAAGTCAGTGTTAAAAGCCTTTCAAGCTTTTCTCACACCTACTGGCGGTTTTCTCTGCTTCTGGGGTGGTCTACCCAGAGCTTAGGCTGGCCAGGTTAATGGAGGGGGGCGGTGAGGGGAGGGAGGGAGGGAGAGCCGCTAGGATTACATAATGTGTCCTGCTTCTCCTGTCCTAGGGTGCTGGGAAGCAGGACGGGGGACTGCCTGGAGGAAGGGGCCCCTTTTTCTAAACTGCACAAAGTTGCCTTGGTGGCCAGCAGGGGCCCTATCTGAGTGAAGTTCTTCCTGTACAAGACTGACTGTTCTGGGTTCAAGGGAGAGTGACCCTCTGTGGTCTCTTGATGAGAGAACACTTCCTCCTCCCCACAGGAATTTCCAGTTGTAGTTATTAGCCTAGGTGTAACCTGAAATTTAAATGTAATTACATTTCTCTTAGAGCTAGGAGCTAGGGCTGTCCCTAGCAACCTGCCAGTTTCCTGCTTTCCTTCTTGGGAGGAGAGTCTTCAGCCTTTTATTCCTCTCGCCTTTTGCCGCTCCGACCTTAGCGTCGCCTTGAGCCTGGGGTGGTGCTTAGTGAGGAGACTTCACTCGGGACACCAAGTCTCCAGCTTGTCCCCCCGCCCCTTCCCAGCCCCGAGAGTCTTTGTGTGGGACAGCAAGAGGCACCTGTGCGCTCCAGGGGTGGTGAGGGGTAACAGGGAGTGGTAGGTGGGGGCCTGTTAAGATAAGGAGAAAGAATAAACAGAAGCAGATGTGCCTTCAGCCCGGTCCCCAGCCCACTGAAAAACAAACGGATGGCAGCTGGTCTCCGGGGCAGGACCTGGCCTCCTTGGAGCCAGGAGCTGGCTTGGGCTCCTCAGTCCTCATCTCTCCACTGGACCTTGTTTTCCTCCCCTGGAGACAGGCCAGGGGCTCTTTCCCTCCACACGATACAAACCACATATATTCACATTCTATCTATTATCAGTGCCAATGACTCCTCTCCATTTTATTTTGTTTTTTAATATTTATTTATTTTAGAGAGCGAGCACGCATGTGCAAGCATGGGGAGAAAGGGCAGAGGAAGAGAAAGTCTTTTTTTTTTTTTTTAAGATTTTATTTATTTATTTGACAGAGAGAGACACAACAACAGAGGGAACACAAGCAGGGGGGAGTGGGAGAGGGAGAAGCAGGCTTCCCGCCGAGCAGGGAGCCCGACACAGGGCTCGATCTCAGGACCCCGGGATCATGACCTGAGCCGAAAGCAGACGCTTAATGACTGAGCCACCCAGGTGTCCCGACTCCTCTCCATTTTAAAAAAGATATGCACAGTCATTCTCCTGTGAACCACAGAGGTGGAGACTGTGCGCCCACATGTCCCCTTCTAGGCTGAGATTAAAAAGCCAGGAGGTGACTTTAATCCCCCAGAGTGATGGTCGCCTAAAGTCATGGGGCCCCTCCATAGGATGGACCCTCTGGCTGTAAAAATCCTTTGGCTCCCTGGGCAATTTTGGACTCTCCACCCCCAATCCAGAGGGGATCAAAGCAATAGAAAGTCTGGACATTAAGGGTGTGCAGGGCTGGGGCTGCAGCTGGTGGTGCTTTGGGGCCCTCCTGCAGCATATCATTCTACAGCGATGTTTCCCTTTCAAAAGGGACCTGGACTGACTTAAAATTTTTAGTGTTTTTTTTTTTAAGATTTTACTTATTTATTTGACAGAGAGAGAGCACAAGCAGGGGGAGTGGCAGGCAGAGGGAGAGGGAGAAGCAGGCTCCCTGCTGAGCAGGGGGAGCCGATGTGGGACTCGATCCCAGGACCCTGGGATCATGACCTGAGCCGAAGGCAGACGCTTAACCAACTGAGCCACTCAGGCGCCAAATTTTTAGTTTTAAATATTACCTAAATATGTGCAAATTTAAACCTGGGTATACACTCTGTGTGCTTATAAATAGTCTATAATCCTAAAATTGAAGGAGGAAGGAAGGGAGGAGCCAGGGTCTCACCCACCCACTCCCAGCTAGGGCTGTGTGTCTCCAGTAGAGGTTTTCTCCTCCTGGATGGACCTGACGTGACCCACTGTGGTTCTGGCTTCTGTTGGGCGATCCCCAGGCTCAGGTAACACTGCCCCCGCCCTTCTGTCCGTCCAGCCTAGGGGTGGCGGTGGCTTTCTGCTGTTGCTCATCTCTGGTTTGCCTCACCCTCTCTACTTGGATTCTGGATTCTTCCATCCTGGCAAGCATGGGGTGGGAGGCAGCATTTCATAAGGTGGGAAGTGCAGGGGTCTTAGGTGGGATGCGCCAAAAGCCAATTCTAAGAGGGAGATTTGCATGCAGAGAGTTTATCGGAGAGCGTGCCCCCCAGCAGCAGCTCTAAGAGTGAGGGGAGCAGGATTGGGCAGAGGGAGATGTGGACATGCAACAGTTGCAACAGAAGCTCAGACTCCAGGATGGCCCTTCAGAATTGTCCCAAATTGGAGCAAGGGCTAGAGTTTTGCACCCCTCCCCCTCCCCAGCACGGCTGAGTTGGACTGGGGTTGCCCCCAGGAAGGGGCCAGTGTGGGATGGGGTGGCTGCCTTCAGGCAGGGCTGTTCCTGGGGAGGGACTGGCTGTGAGGGGTCATCAGCCCTGAAGGGGAGCTTGGGCAGGGGCCATAGCATCTGCTTCAGGTTCAAAGCCCACTTCTGCAACTTACTAGTTATCTGACCTTGACCTACTTCCTTATCCTTGAGCATGCTTTTCGGGGTCCTGACAAGTGAAAAGGGAAATTGTGAGGACTGAATGAGACCGTGTTCCCTGTTCCGTAGGGGAGAGAAAGTCTCCGCCCCTCTTCTCTGCTGGCTTCCCTCCAGGTCGCTGCTGTAGTCTGTGAGGTCAGGATCCAGGACAGTTTCCGCCACGTTTATGAGGGGTGGGGCTCTTGTGCAATAAAGGGTCGTGTGCCCAGGTGTGGCCTTTTCTCCCACTTCCTGCTCCCAGGGGCTGGGTAGACCTTGCTCTCCTCATGGGGGGATGGGATGAGGAAGCTGAACCAGGTCCTCTTGCAGGCTGGCCTCCTTGCCCTCCCTCTTCTTCCCCCCAGGAGCACTGGCTGGTTGAGACTGTGCAGGGCACAGGGGAGTGAGGGCTCTGGATCCTTGTGTTCTGAGCTTGGTCCTGTCATTGAGCTCAGAGCCCTGTCCTGAGGTGGTGCATCAGGCTCTTTGCTGTAGAACAGCGCCCCAAATTTCTTCAGGGTCCCCATGGTACCTGTGGAGACTTGATATGAATTAGAAAAGGTCCTTCCTCTGGGCAGACACAGCCTCAGGAGTGCTCAGTTAGCAAACAGAGAGTGCCTTTGTGCAAACTAGAAAAAGGCCCCCAGTCTTCCCTGTGCACTTGAGGTGCAGTGCACAACCTGCCCAACCCTATGGGGCGACCTTGAATGAAGGCTCCACTTGATGCCACAGGCTCCTCGGCCTGTCTCTGCCTCACGCATTTTCTCAGTACATGCCAAATCTAAGGTGTAGCCCAGGGTTTTGCACATTTTGTGTGCTTTATGTGTGTATTATAGACTATCAACCTATATGCCACAGAGCCAATCTTCCCACACATCCAGCCTTTCTCTCTGTGTCAGAGCCTTAGATGCTGCTTTCTGTGATGGCACTCATGGATTCACTGGGTCCTGGAACTGCAAGGGAGCAGAGAGATTACCAGTCATTGCTTAGTGACAGGGGCACCAAGTCTGTTCCATTAGGGACAGAGCCCCAGCCACAGAAGCATCCCAGCCCCACGAGTCTGTCCCCACCAGTCTCCCCTGCTCTGCTCAGAGTGCATGCCTAGTAACTTGGTTGCCCCCGGACATGGACAAAAGCATCCTGTCTGTAAGACATGTCAATGGAGGGGGGCGGTATGGGTAGAGCAGAAGTCAGGAGCCAGATGACTTTAGGCTGGATTTAGCCCAGTTTGTTCAATCCAGAACCAAGTGCTGACTCTCAGGACTTTTCTTGAAAAAATGCACATGGTCCCAATGGGCTCGCCTTCCTTCATGGCAACACCCGACTGGAGCTGAGCAGTGTCTTCCTCAGCAGAACTGTAGGAGTGGCCTTAACCCCAGTTTCATGGGGAAATGATATACTCCAGAGTCAGTCAGCCTGAGTTTGAATCCCGGATCCCTTACTAGCTGTGGGACCTTGAAAAAGCTATTTATTTGTGCCTCGGTTTTCCCATCTGTCAAAAAGGATGAGGAAATAACAGTACCCATATTACAGGGTCGTTATGAGGATTAAATGAGTAAGTACTTATAACCTCACACAGTACATGATATATGTTAGCTGTTGTAATGACAACAGGTGAGTTTCCACTGAGGAGACATTTATGTGAAGTTTCCACAAACATCATTCCACTGTCTCTGTGACCTCCAGATTCCCAGCAATAGATTGCAGCTGGCCTAGAGAAACCCAAGTTGGAAAAGTCACTCTTTGATCCATGAGGCCCCCTACCCCCAAGCAAGACGATCTTCCAGACTGCCCAGGCCGTGGGGTAGGGGGCAGCCTTGCCTCCTGGTCTTGTCCTGCTTAGAACTCTGTCCCTGCCGGGGAGATGAAGGGAAGCCATGTGAACAGCAAGTTATGCCCCCTGTCGGCCGCTTCTAAGAGCCCATCCTGATATCCCAAGGCATTCCTCCTTCCTCTAGTTAAGTCCTTAAAATCTGTCAACAGCTGCCTTCCACAGAGTTACTGGGCATTTTTATTTCCCGCCTGACTCCTGCTTGGGGTAATGAGTTCCATGAGCTTACCACCCACCGAGTGAAGTCAGATTTTCTTCTATTCTTCCTACACGCAGTTCTCTCAAGCTTTAAGTAGAGCACCCTGGTCTAGTTCAGGATTTGGTGAATGAGTTCATGACCACCCTAACCATAACATTCATGATCCAACAGATGTTACTCCTTCGTAGCCTTTGTCTTCCCAGATGGAAGAACCCTCAACATATCACTCTGTTTTTATGGTAGCTTCCCTATTTCCTTGACAACTTTGGCTGGCCCCTTTTCCAGTTTCCCACGGTCTTTCTTGAGGTGTAGTAAGCACACGAGACAGAAATCCCTCCCCAACCACACACTGACCCTGTGCCACATTCTGTTACACTTGGTTGCAGTTCCAAGTACCGAATGAGAATTTCACTTCAGTACATGCAAATGGCAGTCATTTTGTTGAAAACTGGAACAAGGGTGTTGGGAGTTGGTGAAAGAACAGAGAATCAAAGCAGCAAGCAGAGCACACACATAAGATTTTGTCATAGAGGTGTGGGAATAATATCAGAAGGTGAGATCTTAGAACTCTAGACTCAGAACTCCACCCCAGAGCCACTGTACACAATCCAGTGCTCACCCCCTCACCACAGTCCTGGGGGCTGGGCTGCACCAGCCAGAGGGGTCACCTTTTCCTGGTTTGCATAAAGACATCTCATGGACCAGCAGCATTCCTGCCCATAGGGGACAGCGGTATCCTCTAGACGGGGAGGGCAGAAAAAGCCAGGCCAGAGTGAGGCACTGGGTCCTGCTACTCTGCCATAAAGGTTTGTTTTTTTTCTGCTTTGTTTTGTTTTGTTGTTGTTGTTGTTTTAGAATTAGAGGGAGGTTTTTTTTTTTTTTAAGATTTTATCTATTTGAGAGAGAGAGAGAGAGAGCAGAGCAGGAGGGAGGGGCAGAGAAAGCAGCAGATTCCCCACTGAGCAGGGAGCCTGACACGGGGCTCGATCCTAGGACCCTGGGATCATGACCTGAGTCAAAGGCAGACGCTTAACCGACTGAGCCATTCAAGCGCCCCTGCCATAAAGTTTTTATCGTCGTTCATCCAGTGAGTATTTATTGAGCATCTCCGTGCGCAGCACCATTTTAAGTGTTGAGAAGAGTGGTGAATGAGACGCACGGTTCCTGCTCTCACGGAGCTTCCACTGTAGTCAGGGGAAACAAATTAACAAAGTCAATTTAGGCATCCCACGCATCACAGTGGTCTAGATCAGGGTTGGCAAACCGTGGCCCTTGGGTCAAATCCGGCCCTTGGCCTATTTTAGTAAGGCCCATGAGCTAAGAATGATTTATGTATTTTAAAGGATTATAAAATAAACAAACCCTTAGGAGGCTCACAAACGCTAATTATCTACTATTTTTCTTGACAGAAAAAGTTTGCCAAGCACTGGTCTAGACAGTGACTCAAGGTGGTAGGGTGGTCTAGTGGACACATCAGCTGCCTCCCCAGCACCCATTTGAATCGCTCAAATACATGGTAGCCTTGAGATTTGGGTGGCATGGGGCTTTCATGGCCTAAGCCTAATTAGGGTCCTAGGAGCAGTGACTGGTTCAGGGTTACACCAGTGAGTGTGTGGGATTCTCCTGGGCTAAGGGATTGGTTAGGTAAAGTCCAGGACTTTCCTTTGAGTGTTGGAGGACATGAAAGTCTCTCCTTCTGGATGAGGTGAGATATGGATGTGAAGCTAGAGATCATTGAAGCCATTTTGCTAACATATAGGTGGTTAGCATGAGGATTAAGGTGACCTATTGAGGGGAGACCCCAGAGAATCATAGTAAAAAGGATCCAAGGCCCTGACTATACCCTGGCTGGAGCCTGATTTGCTTCTGGACTTCATAGTTTAACAGCCACTAAATTCCCTTCAATGTTTAAGCCAATTTGGGTTTCTTGTTTCTTTTGACCAGAAACATCCTAACTGATATAGGTGGTCAGGGAAGAAGAAGGTGATGTTTGAGCTGAAACATAAATGGGAGCAAAGAGGATGTGGAAGAAAAACCTTACAAGCGGAGGAAAATGCAAATACCCCAAGATGGGTATGGGCAAGGCACATCTGAAAAGCGGCAAGGTCAATGAGCCATGGGGAGACTGGTATCTGGTGAGGGAGAGGAGTAGGCCAGGTCTTGGGTGGCCATGGAGAGGAGCTTAGCTTTTGTTCTAAATGCAAGAGGAAGCCATTGTTAGTTTGTTTTTTTAATTTTTAATTTTATTTTTTTTAAGATTTTATTTATTTATTTGTCAGAGAGAAAGAGAGAGAGAGAGAGAGCACAAGCAGGGGGAGTGGGAGAGGGAGAAGCAGGCTCCGTGCTGAGCAGGGAGCCTGATGCGGGACTGGATCCCAGGACCCCAGGATCATGACCTGAGCTGAAGGCAGACACTTAACCGACTGAGCCACCCAGGCATTCCTGTTTTTTAAATTTTTTAAACTTGATTTTTATTTATATGCAACAGTGCAGTACCCAAGGCTTCAGGGCACAGTTTGATGAATTTCAGTGCGTACATACATACATGTGTATCTCCATCACCCAGATCAAGAATGCTTTTAGCCCCCACAGGCCATATATGCAATTTAAAATTTTCTAGGAGCCACGGTAAAAACACATAAAAAGAAACAGGTGAAATGAATTTTAATTATGTCTTTAACTCAGGGGATCCAAAATATTCTTTTAACACATAATCAATGTTAAAGGTGTCCATTAGCTGTTACTTTTCCAAAGTCTTTGAAATCCAGTGTGCAGTTTACATGGACAGCAATTTCAATTTGGACTAGCCCCATTTCCAGTGCTCAGCATCCACATGTGGCTAGTGGCTACTATAGGAACAGTGCACATCTAGAGAGTAAGGAAATGAAGCAAACACGGCCCATTGATCAGAAGTCATGTAAATATAAGCCACTGACCTTATCTCTATTTAGAGTTCTGACTCTTTAATTTCATTTTAGTGAAAATAAGTCCCCACCCATTCTCAGTTCCCTAGCCCTATATTCCTCTAAGGTTGTACACTCAACACAGAATTTTCCTACCGTGAGCAGTTTTAGTTCCCTTTTGGGCTCTCCTATGAATGGAGTTGTCATTCTGCCCATTTGTTAGGCAATTCGAACATCTCTATGACAGGCTCCTCACTTGACCAATAAGCCACCAATTCAGATGAAAGTAGTTCCAAACCTGGCCGATCACCTAAATCACTTCAGGGTATTTAAAACAAAACAAAGAGGGGCGCCTGGGTGGCTCAGTGGGTTAAGCGTCTGCCTTCGGCTCAGGTCATGATCCCAGGGTCCTGGGATGGAGCTCTGCATCGGGCTCCTTGCTCAGCGGGGAGCCTGCTTCTCCCTCTGCCTGCAGCTCCCCCTGCTTGTGCTCTGGCTCACTCTCTCGCGCCCATGCTCTCTATCTCTAGCAAATAAATAAATAAAATAAAACAAAACAGAACAAATAGCACACATCCAGGACCTCCTGAATCCCAACCCAGAGACGTGTTCAGTGATGTGCATTTTTAAAAAGCTTGACTGTGAAGGCCATTCAGCCTTGGGGACCACTGAGGATTACCCACTTTGCTGAACACGCCAGAGTCTTCATCTAGGACTGTGGCAGAGATGCAGTGAGTGCTGAAGTGACCGTCCTCTAGGAGCAAAACTCATTTTAACAATGTTGTCATGGCCATGGGAGGGGGGCATGTCTTTGTTTCTTCAGGGGTGGGACTGTGGCAGTGGCCGAGGTGGAAGCTTCAGAGGGCCCCTTGGGTGTAGACTATTTTGTGCAGGCAGAGCCCGGGACAGGAAAAAACCTCTCCAGTGGACAACCAATATGAGAGAAGACAGAGGGCCACAGATCTTGAGTTGGCCTAATGAGAGGTATGGCTAAGGAAGAAAGCCACAGTTGGTGACCCATCTTCACCGCCTCCCCCCCCCCAGTCTGTTCTTACCTCCAGCACTGGCTTTCCTAGCAGTGAGTCCGTCACATCTCTTCCTCACACATGGGTGTATAATAGCAGAGCCAACCTGTGTTTCAAGGGGACAGTTTGAAAGAGCGATGACTAAGAAAAAAAATTAACTTCATCCTTCTGGATTTCCTTTTAATTGTTGGGTGTGCCCTGGGCACCAGAAATTGTAAAGTAGGCCTGGTTTCCTTCCTTGGATGCATTTAAAGAGCCCTGGGTTTGCAGTCAGGACACCTGAGCTCTAGTCCCACCGTTATCACTAGCAGCTGCATCTCTTTGGGTATATGGTTGAACAAATCTGAGTGTCACTTCCTCCACTGGTTACATATGAGTAATAGTACCTGCCTTATAGGTTAGCGTGATTACCAGATAAATCACGCATCTGAAAGCCGTTTGGAAACTGTAAAGCATGACACAAATGCAAGATGCTAAACTTTATCGCAGGGAAAATGACAGAGGGCCTAGGACAGTGGGAGAAACCCTTCACCAGCTTCTAAGATGGTCAGGTCAGCAAGCACGCTTCTTCCCCTCTGCCCTCCCCCCTTTCTTCTTTGCCCCCTCGCCCTTTATAATGGCGTTTGTATGTCTTACAAGCAGCAGGGGCTCTGATCCTAAAGAATGAGTACTTGAACACGCTCCTGGGATTTTGGCCCTTGATACACACCTGTCCTGGGCTTCTGGAAAGGCAACCTCCAAGAGAAGCCTCTTGGCCAGGTGTCCCTAAATGTTTCCAGTGGCAAGTCCTCCGCAGGCCGGGAGGTTTCCATTGGCTCGGGGGCGGGGGGGTGTCCCTTGCGTCTATCTTTCATTGGCTGGCTGCAGCTGGGACGAGGAGCGACAGGCCCTGTGCGGTTCACAGCCGAGAATCACTGAGGGCTGCGGGCGCCTTTGCTGCCTCCTGTCCCCAAGGAGCCCGTGGGAGCTCTCTCCTCCTCCTCCCCCTCCTCCTCCCCCCTCCCTCCCCTCCTCCCCCTCCCTCTCCCTCTCCTCCTCCCCCTCCACCAGTCCATCCCAGGCTGCTCTTCCAGTCCTGCCCAGTCCTGGGCCGGGCACCTACAACCTCCGCTCAAATCACCTCCTTTGGGGAACCTTCCGGGGCTAAGCCCAGCCGTCACCAGTCCCTTAATGGACACATTTCTGGTTCCCTGCACAGAGAGGGGGAATCAGTCCCCAAGCCACGCACACGAGCAGTGCCTTTTGTCACTTTCTCAAGCCCCGCTAGCTGCGGTAAAATGCTCAGTCTCTTTCCTAACTGTTCTCCCCGGGAAATTTACAGGTCGAAGGATGCAGTAAACCTCCTGGCTCCTTCCCGAAGAACGCCGGGACTTAAATGCACTGGGCCCCAGCCAAACAACCGAATAAAGTGGAAAATTTTTTCATCACTTACAGAAACTATTTTCACCCGGCAGAAACAGCATCTACAGCTCCTCAGAGCAAGCTTGTTTTAGCAACGCCGAGCAAGAGAACACCGGTGCAGTCAGGGGCGCTTTCTGGAGGCCGCTCCAACCGCCCTCCCACTTCCCATCCGGCTGTCATTGTTCCCCCGCCGCTGGGGGCGGCGAACCCCGCAGCCCGGCCGGCGCGCCCCCGCAGCCCCCGCGCTCCCGACCAGCCGCGGGCGCGGCGGCACGGGGCATCCCTGTGCGAGCCGGGCCCGGGAGCTCGGCGGGGGCGCGGGGGCGCAGGCGGGGCCGGCGCTGCCAATCCCCGCGCGGCGCACGTGCGGCACGTCCCCGCATCTGGGCCCCCGCCCCGAGCCGGCTCGGCTGGGGGTGCGGGGGGGGTGGGTCCGGAGACAACCCGGGGGGCGCCCGCCGGGGTGGGGGTTGGAGATGGGACCGCGCGGGGGGTCGGGAATGTGCTCGGGGGTCTGGGAGGGGCGAGTGGGCCGGGGGTGAGTAGGGTGTTGAGAGGCTGTGAACGCGCGGGACGGGGGGGGGGGGCGGGCAAGGGGGATGCTTGAGGGTCTTGGGGGGGCGCGGGCAGGCAGTGGGGCGGGGGAGTCCGAGCGCGCCAAGGGACTACCCCGGGGCCCACGAGAGGGTCAGCCGACGCTTGGCCATCTCCCTAACCGATTAGGGAAGCGCCAGGAAATTCCCCAAGCCGTCTCAGCCTGGCTCTCTTCCTCTCTGTCACGAAAAAGTGGGCCACACACGGGTGGGGACCGGTCTGCCCCCTGCCAGCTTAGCCGAGGGCCCACGGCAGGAGGGCAGGGATCCGGGGAGGGGGATTTCACATGCTGGGCTCAGAGCACCTGTGCAGGAGAAAGCAGATCATTTTAGGCACCTTCTTCACCCCCCCCCATTCCCCCCTCTCAATCCCTGCCGTCTCCGCCCAAAAATAGGGAGTGTTTTATTTCTGGTTGTGATTTTGAAACCTAGCCATCCCATGCGTCAGGCACCCAGTGGAAGCACAGGCATCAGAGCTGTCCGAGTGGACTTGACGGTGTACAGAAGGCAAGAGAGGGGCCTCCGCCTTCAGGGGCCGAGACTTCACGGACGGTCCACTCTGAGATGGAGCCTGCTGGCGGCCCGTTAATGTCCTGCTGGAGGAGGAAGGCATCGGGGCCAACATTCTCTATACAGAGCGGCCCCTTCGTTCCCCGCTGTGCTGTTTGGACCCCGGAAAGTGCCAAGTCCCAGCGTGGAAGCCAGTGGGATGTCTTGGAGGTCGCTGTACCTTCGCGGGGAGTCCCCGGAGCGGTACTCTTGTTTACCCTCCTTGGGAGGCCCTAGCAACTTCCGGAAGAGGACTCCCTTTGAAGTGTGGGCAGCATTTCGGTTCCTCCGACTACTCCTTGTCTCCTTTGATGTGAAATGACGCTAGCAGAGACTGGCTCCCGGGACCAAGAGATCAAACACCACTCCCAAGTTCGACCAAGAGATCAAACACCACTCCCAAGTTCACCTCCAGCAGGACGGACATCTTGAAGGGCAGACTGAAATACTGTAGAATCTTAAATTTTCCCATTTCCTGCTGTGTTTTAAAAAATTAATATAGTACCTATTTTTCAAACGTATCATTCAAATCCCAATGCCTCTGAAATGACAGTGGAAAACCTTGGGCTCACCTGCTCTGTCTACATGATTTCATCTAATCCTCACAACCACTGTCCCTGGCTGGTATTATCCCCCACTTTATAGATGGGGAATTGAAGGCCTGGGGTCATACAGCTGTCCCACTGAGAGCCTGCCTTCCTTCCTTTGTTTTTAAAGATTGTATTTATTTGTTTGAGAGAGTGAGAGAGAGTGAGCAGGGGAAAGAGCAGAGGGAGAGGGACAAGCAGACTCTGCACTGTGCGTGGAGCCCGACATGGGGCTTGATCCCCTGACCCACGAGTGCATGACCCAAGCCCAAACCGAGAGTCAGTCACTCAACCAACTGAGCCACCCAGGTGACCTGAGAGCCTTTCTTATTGAGCACCTCCTCCACTAAAAGTTAATTGCGTGCGTCAAATGAATCAAATCCCACGAAGCACCACAGTGCCGGGCACACAGTAACCGCACGGTGAAAAGTTACCGATTTTTTTGGATCGCTGTTATCATTACAAATAATAAGCATAAAAGTTATATCATGATAGCAAGTTTGGCAGTGATTGTAGGCAGTAGACCTTGATGCATTCTTTCAGAAATGTTCAGGGTTTTGTTTTCCCTTGGTTAGAGCTATCTCTAAATGGTACTGGGATTTCGACTCCGGAGCAAGTTGCTCCAAGACAAACTGTACTGTAGTTTTCCCACAGAGATTTGCTCCCAGACCTGATCCGTCCTTCCTTCCCAACTGGAGACCATTAGCAAAAACATGCTATTCAGACCTCAGCTGGGTGCTTTGATGCCTATGAGTTTAGAATGGGATGGAATGTGTGTGTGTGTGTGTGTGTGTGTGTGTGTGTGTGTGTATTTTAATGACATGGATAAGGTAACTTAGCTTTGTTCTAAAATTTCACAAAGAAAATCAACATTATTCACCAAATTGTTTACTTTTTTGTTTTTTGGTTTTGTTTTTTGTTTTACAAAAAAGTGTTTTAAAAATGCTTTGGAAGTGGAGAGATCCTTCTGAAGGCCTCTCTAAGTTGAGAGAATGGCTAAGAATCCTCTGAGTGAGGCGCTGCGGTGGATGCTGACCTGGGCCTGGATGTGCCCTGGGAGACCCAGGAGGACAGGCGAGCTGCCCCGTTGCTTGGCTTTTTGAAGGACAGGACCGGGAGGGGGCAGGAGCCACAGAAACACTGATAACCGAGGCACCGTGGAGCCCCGATGAGGCCTCTCTTTAATCAGAGGCTGGTGGGGAGGAAGGTATAAAAGAGTAACACATGGTTGAAAAATAATAACAAATGGTATTTCTTGAATACCTATCATGCTGTACGCACTGTGCTAGGGGCTTCACCTGCTTCTCATCATTTCGCCCTATGAGGTAGGTTACATGTTATTATTCCCAGTTTCCAGCTAAGGAAGCAGCCAAAGGAAGGTTAAGTGGCCCAGCATCACCCAGTTGCTACGTGGCCCAGCCAGGGCTCATGCTCACGGCCGTGTCATTCAGACACGTGGGGGATGGAAGTGTTCTGCTCTTTTTTGCTGAGATCCAGTTTACAAGCTCTTGTCCTGGGGGACGTTCGGGACTTCCCGGTCTGGAGCCATCTGAGGAGAAACTTTTGAAAAGTAGTTGGCTGAATCACAGGGAAGGGGCAATGGCTCAGGGTCTACTGGCTGAGCAGGGATCGGGGAGAGGAATCAGCACAGAGGACACAGTGGGACAACGCCGTGACTGGATTGCTGTTGGGGGAGCAAGAGTGCCATTTCGTGGTGTGTGTTTGGGGAAGGACAAAGGGAGATGGGACGGGAGCAGAGGACGGCAAGCATGGGAATTGAGGTATCATAGGAAGGTGCCCGTGGTTAAGAGGTGGGACCTGCAGGGTGGCCACTTTGTTTCAACATATCACAGTGACACGTCACACCTGACTTCCAAGCAGCAGGAGAGAGGAAAGGGAGAAGGGCCTATACCTTCTTTTAAAGAGACTTTTCTGGAAGAACCATACTATACTTTTTGCTTGCAATTCACTGGCTAGAACTTAATGGCTGGATCCAGCTGAAGGGAGGTGGGAAAATTAGTCCATCAGCAGGGTGTAATGCTACTCTGAATAAACTTGGGGTTCTGTTACCAAGGGGGAGAAACAGCATTGCTGTTGGGTTGGGCAGGCATCTAGCAGTCTCTATCAGAGAAAGCTGGATTTCGTAGCTGTGAAATAAACAGGTTATTGGGATTTGTAATGCACCTAACTCTCCGGTCACCGGCCCTAGGCAGATCACTTTACTTCTTTGGGCTTCAGTGTCTTCACTAAAAAAGGAAAAAAGCTAGACTTTCTGAGCAATAGCTGTGGCTGTTAAACGGTGTTCTATGAAGTCCTGGGGTTTCTTGGAGATGCCTCAGAGGCCAACAGGAGCACCTAGAACTGTGACCTCTTGGCTAGTCTCCTGCTCGGTTGCTGGAGCCCCTGGAGGCACACGCCAAGACCTGCTCTTCTTTTATCCGCTTTCTCAGCAGTTCTAAAGCTCCATGGCCTGGGGGAGAAATTTCAGGAGCAATGGTGAAAAGTTTCTGGGTTTTGAGAGAAGCAACTTGAACAGGTTGTGTGGGCTCAGGTTTCTGTGGTTCTAGAGATAGAAGCACCCATTTCTGTAATTTGGAAAACCCAGGGAGGTGTCAGCTAAAAAGCTTGGTAATACTATTGATTTTGTAGGTAATCGGACATAATTTTCTTAACTCGGGGGAGTTAGAATCTGTTTCCCCGAGAGCTGGAGTGAAGAAACAATGAACTTTGAGATAAGGTCCAGGCTTGTCTTCCTCCTCTGCTATTTGCTGCTTGTTCTTCAATCTCTCTGAGCCGCAACGTGCTCATCTATAAAATGGGGGTAATAATGCCTACTTGGGGGCTGCTGTGAGAATTAACTGTAATCAAGTATATGAAGGTTGGCCATGAGGAAGCCTTAGTCTAGTGTCACCTGTTGAGCAGAGGGTCTCACACCACCAAACAGAAAAGGTAGAGTAGAACGGCTTGGTCTTAGTGATTTAGCCAGTCGGTTCCTAAGGCTCAAGATAAAAATGATGATGCTGATCTCTGGAGCATCACCCTGACGGTTTCTGAACTGAGCCCCTATCCTGTAGGGCTTTGGCGTTCATTCCAATGAGCAATGCCCTAGAACCAACCAAATCCCACTGCTGTTGTTTACTTTCTCCCCTAAATCTTCAGTCTTTCCCTCCTTACTGGATTTCCCCCTCACTCGAAGTCTTTCTCATCTTGAAACAAAATTCTGTTTCTAGGCAGATGACTCTTCCTAGCAATGTCTTCCTCCTTTTCACAGCCATAAACCTTGAATGAGTTGTGCATAGGCTGCCTTTCCTTTCTCCCCACCTGCGCTCTTCTGGCTCTCTGTGAGTGGGTTTTTGCCAAAGCTCTATGCGGAATCTG